AAAGAAGAGAAAGAAGAGAAAGAAGAGAAAGAAGAGAAAGAAGAGAAAGAAGAGAAAGAAGAGAAAGAAAGAAAGAAAGAAAGAAAGAAAGAAAGAAAGAAAGAAAGAAAGAAAGAAAGAAAGAAAGAAAGAAAGAAAAGGCCAGATTAAGAAACAGACAATAGTTACCACAGAGTATTATAATCTGTAACAGACTGTATTTTTGCCACAAGAGCCATAACATTTATCTGGTATTTAAAATAACTACAGGATTAGCTGGGTATGGTGGCGGGCACCTGTAGTCCCAGCTACTCAGGAGGCTGAGGCAGGAGAATCTCTTGAACCCGGGAGGCAGAGCTTGCAGTGAGCCAAGATCGCACCACTGCACTCCAGCCTGGCGACAGAGCAAGACTCGATCTCAAAAATAAAGTAAACAAAATAAAATAAGTACAGGAGCTAAAAGCTATTTAGTTCTCTTTTCAGTAAAGCAGAGTCTGCACTTTAGGGAGAGCTCTCTGCTCACCTGCGTAGGCAGAAGACTCCAGTTTTGCTTACTCCGGATCTGGCTGTCCACTAAGTCACCATCACATATGCTGTCTGCTGCTCTGCTTAAAAGCATCAAGTGCTTTTTCATGTCGCCCCTGCAGGAAAGAATCAGTCTGGATTATCTCACTCTCCACACCCCAGGTCCCTCCTTCATGGTGCTGGGAGGATATTAACCATGCCTCTCACCAGCTCTGGACACTCACCCTGCTGCTACAGGCTTCACATGTATGTAATTTTCCTGGACAAAGAGGGGTGCTATTGAATAATCATGAAAAAAGAGATCTGACTTGTCCATAAGTGACATGTGAGCAGTCTCCTCTCCAGCTGCAAACACCTTCCGGGCAACATCAAATGGGCCCTGAAAAAAAAGAGGGACACACCTATTAGAATGGCCAAAATTCAAAACATTAACATCACCAAATGCTAACGAGGATACGGAACAAGAGGAACTCCATTCATTGCTGGTGGGAATGCAAAACTGTACCGTTTGGTAGTTTCTTACAAAATTAAACATACTCTTACCATACGATCCAGCAACCACGCTTCTTGGTATTCACCCAAGTGAATTAAAAACTACGTTCACACAAAAACCTGCACATGGATGTTTATGAGCAGTTTTATTTATAATTACCAAAAGCTGGGAGCAACCAAGATGTCCTTTTAGTAGGTGAATAAACAATTTAACTGTGGTACATTCACACAATGTAATATTATTCAACAATAAAAAGAAGTGAGCTATCAAGCCATGAGAAGACATGGGGGGGCTGGGCATGGTGGCTCACCCCTGTAATCCCAGCACTTTGGGAGGCTGAGGTGGGCAGATCACTTGAGGTCAGGAGTTCGAGACCAGCCTGGCCAACATAGTAAAACCTCGTCTCTACTAAAAATAAAAAATTGGCCAGGTGTGGTGGCAGGTGCCTGTAATCCCAGCTACTCAGGAGCCTGAGACAAGAGAATCACATGAACCCGGGAGGCGGAGGCTACAGTGAGCCAAGATCACACCATTGTACTCCAGCCTGGGTAACAAAGAGAGACTCCGACTCAAAAAAAAAAAAAAAAAAAAAAAGTCATGGAAGAACCCTCTTATGCTACTACTAAGTGGAAGAAGCCAATTGGAAAAGTCCACCTACTACATGATTCCAACTATACCACATTCTGGAAAAGGCAAAACTATAGACACAGTAAAAGGATCAGTAGTTGCCAGGGGTTGTAGGGAGGAGAGAGGAAAGGAAGAATGAACAGGTAGAGCACGATTTTCAGGACAGTGAAACTATTCTGTATGATACTATAATGGTGAATACATGTCATTATACATTTGTCAAAACCATACAATGTACACCACCAAGAGGGAATGCTAATGTAAACTATGGACTCTGGGTGATAATGAGGTATCACTGCAGGTTCATCGATTATAACAGATATACCACTGTGGTAGGGGACGCTGGCAGTGGGAGAGGCTGTGCGTGTGAGGGGGACACGAAGTATATGAGAACTCTCTGTACCTTCCACTCAATTTTGAATCCATAGGCCGGGTGTGGATCACCATGTTGGCCAGGCTGGTCTCAAACTCCTGAGCCTAAACTGCTCTAAAAAATAAAGCATATAGGCCAGACGTGGTGGCTCACACTTGTAATCCCAGCACCTTGGGGGCCACAGCAGGAGGATCGCTTGAGGCCAGGAATTCAAGACCAGTCGGGGAAACACAGCGAGATCTTGTCTCTACCAAAAATTTTGAAAATTTAAATAAATAAGAAAGTGTATTAACTTTTTTAGAACCTGCTTAATCATTGTTCTAACTATAAATTCTGATTAGCAACTAGGTAAAATACAACACAGAGGTAACTGACACATACCTCTAGTTTCAGAGAGGTCATTAAACCATTTGACATGGATTATTCTGAACAGTGCAAAACCACTCCAAACATGAAAGTCAAACATAAGGAACTCTGGAAAAGCCATTTTATAATTGCTGAAGCATGAGTATAATTTAAAATTTATCCCTTTCTCAAAATTTATAATAGACACTGACAATCTTTGAGAAAAAATTCATTTGAATTAGAAACACTTTTAGCAGCTGTCTGTACTTCTTACTATATATCCCTGGATCCCACAGGCATATCAAGGAACTATAATAACTATTTCTATCAAGCTACCTACAGAACAAGAAGTGTTTTGGCTTAAGAAAGTAACTAAGACAAGGAAATTTATTTTACCATTTTGATATCCTTTTTGGCTCTGTGAGAATCAGCTTTGGCCTGGTCATAGGTTAATGCTTTACTTCGTGCACACCACATACTCAGATTATGTAAAACCTAAAAGAATCACAAATAAGACAACGTCAAGATAGGAAAATCCTGTTGCTCCCCACCCCTACAAGATTGAAAGCATTACCTAAAAATAAACAACAACTGTTACATAATATATATTTAATTTACCTGTCTGATATCTTGATTGGCTCCCAAAATTATTTCATTCATTGCTGGAGGGGGAATCTTTAAACCTTCTTTAAATGCAATAGACATCATAGCACCCTGAAATTGACAAGGGAGGAGTCCTCAATGATTTTAACTCTCATAATCAGATATTTTAAAAATATTTATCAGGTACTTTTAAAAACTGACCCTTAAATAAATAGGCTAGTGTGATGGGAAAAAAATTTCAATCATCATACCTTAATCTGTTCAACCCGAGGTCTTTGAAAACGAAGATCGAAACAATAATGAACCAGAGAGCGAATCTTGGGATGATTTCTATCATTGCACATACAAATAATGGGAATTTTAGTATGTTTTATCAGGCCAATTAATTCCTGAAAGGCAAGTTAGCAACACAAAAATAATTATTTTTAAAATGACAAATATCACACAAGGTAATTTTGGTTCTAAAAATCTCCTCAGCGACATGCCTTGACTGCCATGAGAGAATGACAATGTTTTAAAAATCTAAATTATCAATAGTGAAACTGCAAAAATACAGCACTTGAATTACCTGAATTCCTCCCCTATCCTCATTGCCTGCCATGCCATCTACTTCATCCATGATGAGAGCATGTTTCGTGCTTACTGAAGAGGCTGCTCCATCTGACCCAGGTTGAGGAGCAATGGGATGAGACAAAAACAAAATAACAATTGCTCAAAAACTGCTGCTCTGTAGAAAATTATGTAACAGATATTAAACTTCAAAAGCTACAAGAATATGCAGCACTGGGCTACAGAGTGTTGCTAAAGAAAAAAAAAGAATATGCAGCAAAGAGAAACTCTCCCTGCCACCCCTTCCCCTGCAGACCCCAATTCCCTTCCCAGAGACAAACAATAGTCTCTTACACGTCCTTTAAGAGATATTCTACACATATGTGCATAAAAATATACAACTGAGGATTTTTTTTTTTCTTTGAGATGGAGTTCCGCTCATTGCCCAAGCTGGAGTGCAATGGCGCGATATTGGCTCACTGCAACCTCTGCCTCCCGGGTTCAAGCGATTATCTTGCCTCAGCCTCCCGAGTAGCTGAGATTACAGGTGCACGCCAACACACCCGGCTAATTTCTGTAGTTTTAGTAGAGACGGGTTTTCACCATGTTGACCAGACTGGTCTCGAACTCCTGACCTCAGGTGATCCATCCACCTCGGCCTCCTAAAGTGCTGGTATTACAGGCGTGAGCCAACATGCCCGGCCAGTTTTGTCATTTTATGTATTTTGGTGATTCATTCTTTATCTATAGATATAGAACACTTCATTTTTTAAGGCAATTTAATATTCCATCCTACACTTGTACCGCACTTTAATCACCATTAATGAAATATATAGGATGCTTCCAAGCTTTTTTCTATTATGTCATACTAAATGACTGTCCTTATCTATATGGCATATATATGCCAGTTTGCACATATATAAGTAAAATAATAGCTAAATTCCAGCAATTGGAATTTCTGGGCTAACGGGTATGTGTAATTTGAGAAATACTGCCGGACTGCTCTCCAGAGTAGTACCAATCTACCCTCCCAACAGCCATGTCTAAGAGTGACATTTCCTGAGCAAATTCTTTTGAACAATGTGAAGGCACCAAGAATTCAGGTGACAAAACAACACACCATAGATGATTCTAAACAGGCACTGTGCGGTCCTTAACTTGAGCATCTTATTTTCCATGAACTTTGGCCATAGAGGACCACTAGCTACAACCTGAAACACAGTGGGCATTTGCACACTGTCTTCTCTTCTACTACCTTTGCCTGCAATGACCTCTTCCACCTCCAAATGGTTTTATTTCTCATTCTTTGAGGTCTTTCAAAACAATTATCACCCCTTTACTCAATGCCCCAAGCATAATTACTTCTTCATCTGCTGGCCTTATTACCTCATTGTGTATTACATACCTTATTACATACATACACAGAGTGAGGTTAATAAGGTAATGAAGTAATAAGTCACACTGTATTACATACAGTTTTTTTATTTTCTCTCTTTACAGGATTCACCTGTGAATCCTCTAAAATCATATGAAAAATGCATTAAAATGTGCATGTACACATTTTTATCACATTCTCAGAAACCTCTAAGACCTACGAAAGGGTAAGTACTACCCCATAAGAATGATGTCAGAGGACTTTCTTATTCTCTTGTTAGCCCCAGAATTTAGTAGGGTGTTTGGCACACAACCTGTGTTCAATACTGGTTACTGAACATTGAAATGAACATATTTTTCTTATATCACAACAACAGCAGTTCAAAAAGCCACATACTTGAATAAAAGCCTTTGATGCTGGTATTGCTCAGTGACTCAGCAACAATCGCCTTCAAACTGCTCTTACTCCGGGTGTCACTTGCATTCAGTTCCACGTAGCTGTATCCCAATTCCTAATCAAAATATTGGAAACCACTGATGGCACAATACGAATTACCTCTACCACCCCCGCCAAGAAAGGCCAGTTAAGAAAGACAGAAGGTACAAACATCACATAAAAAACCATAGGTAAAAATATAAAGTATGATACTAACAGACAATGAGATTAACTATAGTATGCCTTACAATATTAGACATTTTTAGAATATCATATACATATATATAACATACACATATAAATACTAATAAATTTGGTCTTAGAACTTCAGCTGACAAATCACTAATCTGGAAGGGTATATTCAAACAAGCAATTTTACTAAATTTACTTCTTAGAGTCCTAAAAAAAGAATTAAATATAATAATGCCAACAATTCAGTATCAGACACAGAATTAATCTATTATAAGATACCGGCCAGGTGTATTGGCTCACACCTGCAATTCCAGCACTTTTGGGAGGCCAAAGCGGATGGATCACTTGTTGTTAGGAGTTTGAGACCAGCTTGGCCAACATGGTGAAACCCCATCTCGACTACAAATACAAAAAATTAGCTGGGTGTGGTGGCGCGTGCCTGTAGTCTCAGCTACTCGGGAGGCTGAGGCACGAGAATCACTTGAACCTGGGAGGCAGAAGTTACACTGAACCGAGATCGTGCCACTGCACTCCAGCCTGGACGGCAGAGTAAAACTGTGTCCCAAAACAAAAAAATAAAATAAGATACCAAAATGTAATCCTAAGATAACTGATAAAGTTAAATCATTCTTTGTCACGACACTATCCCACTAAACAATTTTCCTCTGAAATCAGGAAAATTCAAGTTATTCTGATTCATTTCCCAAAACTGATCAGCTTATGCCTTAATTTGTAAAAAAAATAATGATAATAATAAAGGGAGAAACAGAGTTGTGTTCACAATTGTAGGGACTAGGGAAAAAATATTGTTTTGCTTTTTCATTAATGTTTATAAATACAGTGAAAACAGATAAAATTTTATTTAAATTTTATGCAGATGCATACAACAAATACCAAAAGAAACCACAAGCTGATGCAGCAGAGGATTGAGAAATCCAGCAATAAATTTCTAATCTGGTATTTCATCATTCTGATACCAACACGTGAACTCTGATCTGCTCTAGCGCCTAAGCAAGTCAAGCTCTCCCGTTGTCTACAGGGATTCAGCGGCAACAGAGACAACAGGAACAAAGGCAGGACCACACAGTGCTGAAGAGTAGAACCCTGAGTCGCGCTACGTGGGTGAAAACTGGGCCTCCACCCTCCTCCCTAAGCCTATTTCATTTCACACGTGTGGATGATGACAGTACAGATAATTATTCAGTACATAGAATTATTCAAGGGCATTAAGATATTTGCATCTTTCAGAGTCTAGAATACATGTTTTTGTTATCTATAACACACCCACGTGCTGAGCACGCTGCCTCGCTCATCGGTAAGTATTGCCTAGTACTTTAATTACCAATATTTTAAAAGGATTAAAATTACAAACATCACCAGAACCAAAACAGGTTCTAAAGGTTTTATTTTAGAAAAATAAACACAGTTTATATATAGACAACACACACACACACACACACAGGCACACATGTGGGTACACACTTTTATCTCCTAGCCATGACCACTCGAGGTTATCTGTCCAACCACACTGCGACAAAGCACCCACCTGACACACCAGGGAAGCTGTGGTGGTTTTGCCAACACCAGGAGGGCCTGACAGCAACGCTGCTTTAAAACTAGAGCCATCATCTTTGCCGGAAAATTTACCAAACTTTGCTGCTAGGAAAAAAGAAGTTCCAGAGTGTTAACCTATATCACCTAACAGAAGTTCAGGCATGGCAGGGAGAGTTGTGCCTAAACTTCGCATAGACAGCCATCCTCCAGTTTAGTTCTAAATTTGCAGAATATTTTCTACAAAACATAAACAAGTTTCCAGAGCATTCAGTGAAATTCTACTTCCTAGCTCACCTCCACCCAAAATAAAAAACTAAAACTAACTCACTTTAAAACTCTTGATTTGAAATAATAATTGTATGAGTTTCCTTTCCTGTGAACACACAGGCCATGGAGCATGCTGCCGGGGCTCGATCCCGACTCCATCCATCCTCATGCCACCTCTCACCAGCCACGGTGAGTTAAAAGTGACTTAGCCCCTGTGACTGCCTCCTCCTTTGTTAGACAAGCAGAACAACAGTAAAGTTGCTACTAAGGATGTTGTGAGGACCGAATGGCTGAGCACAGAGCCATGCGTGCCTCACTAAATGTTAACAAGCATAGTAGCTACATGGTCACAAGAAAAAAAACTGACTTGAAGATGCTGTGTCTGCAACTATCTTGTTCCCCTCAACACTAGACCAGCACTCTTCCTCCCCTCACCACGTGAGCACCTGGCACATACATCAGGCTCAACTCATACTCAATAACTGACAGAGACAATGGTTTTAAACCTACTGCCAGCAGGCATGCAGACAGGGACTACAGTTCACCTACAGCTTTAAAACAGTCTTCTCGGCCAGGCACAGTGGCTCATGCCTATAATCTCAGCATTTGGGGAGGCAGAGGCGGGTGGATCACATGGTCAGGGGTTCGAGACCAGCCTGGCCAGCATGGTGAAACCCCAACTCTACTAAAAATACAAAAAATTAGCCGGGCATGGTGGTGTGTACCTGTAGCCCCAGGTACTCAGCCTCCTGAACCCAAGCGGCAGGGGTTGCAGTGAGCCTAGATCGCGCCACTGCACTCCAGCCTGGGCAATAGAGCGAGACTATCTCAAAAAAAAAAAAGTCTTCTCTGGGCACATGAAATGCCTGTCTCTCTTTTAAGGGAGATTTTATTAAGTTTCAGAATGAAAAAATGATTTAACTTAAATTGAGTCCTATATCATTACAATATATTATCTGTTTAAATAAACAGGCATCATCAGCAACGGTGATCGGCATCTAGTCATCACTGGTCTATGTTGACAACACTACTAAAACATTTGTGATCTCAAACCTCCGTTAAGAAATACTGTGGACATTAAATACATACTGGAGCTTTTCACTCTCCCCAACAAATACATCACAAACAAGGACAGAAACTACAGAAGCACAGGCCTATCAGGCCTGCCAGAGCAAATCGTGCTTGCTACTGGGAGTTGAGGCTGACTGCCCTGCACGCATGCCTCCGTTATTTATTCACACCTTTCCTCCTAGTGCCCTTGCCACTCAGGGGCCTTACTGTCACATGGCTTCAGACCTTGGGACACATACTCTTTCCTACCCAACACTCACCCCTCCCTCCCTTCGCCTAGCTACCTCCTACTTTGTTTCCAAGTCTTAGCTTAGCCATCCCTTCCTCCAGGACGGGAGGACACACACCCAGGCCCTGACCACACATCTTCATCCTCACAGCACCCTGGACTTACCCCTCTAGCAGTACTTGGCACAATACATTTTAATTGCTGGTTCAGATATGCCTCCCCCACTGCCTGTGAGCTCCTGAGAGGGACTGTTTTGTTCACACCACCACCAGCAGGGTCTAGTACTGCACCTGGGTTCAGATCAAGCTCTTAGTAAATGCTTGCTGACAGATGAATGAACCGTTAGATTTTCTTATATATGTGCCAGTGAGCAATCACATGTTGATATACACACACACAAAAATGAGTGAGGTTGTAAAATCACCGTGTTTTTTATCTTCAGAAGAACTCTTGTGCCAGTTTCGGAGCCAGCGTAGGAGTTTGTTGGCACAGCTCTGGTCACCTTGCTGTCCAATTACGGTCTTGAGCGAGGTTGGCTTATATTTATCCACCCAGAGCAAATTTTCCACTTTGTTTTCACTGCTGTCATCAGCCAAATTCCTAGCCTTGCTGTCACCACTTGTTTCCTCGGCCACCTGCTCCTTGAAATCCAGGCCTCTCCAAAACACATCTGTTTCCTTTTTTATTGTCTTTGCCAAACTGTCCCTTTTGGAAGTCGGCTTGCTCTTTTTAGATTCCGATTCCTTTTTAGATGGACTAATTTTTCTTTTGCCTTGAACATTTTTTTGGGGTGTTCTCTCCAGTTTGGACTCTCTCTTCATCTTAAACAGCAGAAAAGTGAGGAAAGAAGAAATCTGATGAAACATACAGAATTTCTATCCTGCTAAACGTACTACAGAGAGCAATCAGAGATATCCAAGTGGGCTATTCAGCCTAGGCTGGTCTTGTCATGACAGACTTTCCTGTTTGTGGAAATCACCACCTTCTAAACTATAAAAATTAACAAACACACCAGAAACCACCAAACGCAATTTCTAAAAGTGAGAACATGTTGGATTTTAAAAATAATAAGTACTCCAATTTTAGTTTGAAAAAAACAAGGTATAGTGTTGAGATTTTTGTTTCAAAGTTTCCTAATTAAAAGTTAATGCCTCTACAAAAACTTGTACACAAATGTTGTTCACAACCATATTATAGCTAAAAGATGGAAACAATCCAAATGTCCCATCAACTGAAAAAGAAACAAAATAGGGTGTCTCCACACCATGAAATATTATTTACCCATAACAAGGAGTGAAGTACTGATACATGCTACAACCCAGGTCAACCTTTAAACCGCTATGCTAATTGAAAGAAGCCAGACACAAAATGCCATATATTCTAATGTCTCCATTTACACATGAAATGTCCAGAATAGGAAAATCCATAGAGACAAAGCAGAGCTGTGATTGCCGGGGGTGGACAGAATGAGTGGCTGCTGATGGGTACAGGGTTTCTTTCTGGTGTGATGAAAATGTTCTGGAATTACACAGTGCTGATGGTTGCATACTCTGTTAATATACTAAAAACCACTGATGTGTATGCTTTCTAAGGGTGGATTTTATAGTATGTAATATCTCAATTTTAAAAAAAAATTATTGCCTCTTTAGCAGCAGATGCTAAAATTAGTGGATGAATGTTTAAGGACAAGCAGTATATAAGCATAGTTTTAAAGTACCTCCCTCTCCTGCCAAGACAGTTATCAATTACAAAGGAAAAATAGTCACTTTACTAGTGAAGAAACCCAGCACTAGTTTCAGTGGGATGCTGAATCATCTTAACCAAATAATCAAGGTTATCCTCACTAATAGTAAGATATATTGACATCCTGTACCTATGAAAGGATGCACTGAGGACACAAGATCACCTCTATGGTGTTCTTAGAAACAAAGGCATAACCTCAATCTAATCATGAGAAAACATCACAGATCCAAACTGAGAGACATTCCACAAAACTGACCAGTACTCATTTTAAAAGTGTCAAGGTTGTAAGAAGACAAGGAAAGACTGAAGAAATGTCATCGACTGGAGAAGACTAAGAAGACACAACTAAATGCAGTGTGGGGCCTGGAACAGAAGAACTACTACAGGGGAAAATGTAAGGTTCGAATAATATGTAGAGAGTAGTTAACAATAGGGCATCGATGTTAATTTCCTGGTTTTTATAACTATGCTATGGTTATGCAATCGAAATCATTCCCTAGATTTCTCTAACCAGAATAACCTGGGTGGACTATCTTGCCATTTAGGTGACAGAGCTGGGGACATTAAAATCTTGGAATGCTGGCAATCCTGCGTCCTGTGTGTACACATGGATGGTCTACAGTGGGAATGAATGAGGCTAACTAGGAGAAACTGAGAGACAGAAACTGAAGGGGTCCTCAAAGCTTTGTAGTCTGTGGATCCAGTAGTTCCTAGACCAGATCCTCCCCGCCCATAGTTTAGTTATGTGAGCCAACATTTTTCCTTTTGCAAAAGCTAATACAGGCTAGGTGTCTGCACAACTTAAAAAATCCTAATACAGTTCTAATTGAAAACAAATTTATCACGCTGATACCTATTAACATATCCTTTAAGGAACTCCTAAACAATAACCTTTGCATAAAGTCAACATGAGAATACGGCTGGGCACAATGGCTCACACCTATAATCCCAGCACTTTGGGAGGCTGAGGTGGGAGAATCACTTGAGGTCAGGAGTTCAAGACCAGCCTGGCCAATATAGTGAAACTCCGTTGCTATTAAAAATATAAAAATAAGTGGGCGTGGTGGCAGGTCCCAGCTACTCAGGAGGCCGAGGCAGGAGAATCGCTTGAACCCAGGAGACAGAAGTTGCGGTGAGCCGAGATCACACCACTGCACTCCAACCTGAGGGACAGAGCTAGACTCTGTCTCAAAAAATTAAAAACTAGTAATAATAATAATAATAATAGGAAAATTAGGAAAGTTTGATAAGTAGATAGGTTATACGCAATATACTGTCCTTTCTCTACTCGTATTCCCTGACAAAGATAAGGAAAAACAACAAACTAGACATCTTAAAGCAGAGTCCTCCAGCTCAAAAGGAACTAAGGTGGTTCATTTGTGGTAGACAGGAATGTTAACCTTTCAGCCAACAAGCCTGTATCCACCCAAGACATAAGTCTATGAAATTAAAAAGTTACTATACACCAACTTAAATAAATCACATTCATTTTATACAAACCTCAGTTTCAACTGCTATTTCGTACTTGGATTTCTTGCCTGGCATAGTTCGAATCAGATTCAACAGGCCATCTTCATCAATAATTTTTGTCCCCAAGGCTGCGGCCTGTTGATTAAAAATGCAAATCATCAAAACTGCATCCTACCATTCCTTTCTGTTAAAAAAAAAAAAAAAAAAAAAAAAATTCTAGGGCCTATTAGTAGGTGAAAAACCACATTTGTAAATTAGATAACACTGGAATTAAAAAAGAAAAACAAAAAATAGCACATTCATTGAAAAGGTAACATTGAAAAGAAAGAAAATAACAGATACATTCCCTAAGCGTAGCAGGTTGGCACAGGAAGTGGTCCATTACACTTTTGTGGACTGCTTTACCTTTCCTTCCCTAGGAAGGGGCAATGCCACTAGGGCCTAAGACCAGCTCTTCATACCTTCTCCCATATTGAATACATATGGCAGACATTTCCCCCACCTTCTTCCCTGCTGATGGAACTCCAATGTGTCCTTCTCCAAGTGATGAATTATGACTGGTCTAAGGCAACCAGAAACGTCTTGGTTCTTCCCAACCTCCCATACAGCTCTGAGTGGCCAGGTGACAGCTCTGGCCAATGAGACTTACGTGAAATTCTATAAGAGGTGTTTCTGGGAGAACTCTTGTCAGGCCAGTCACAGCTCTTATGACATCCTGCCACTGTTCCCTTTTCCTACCTTGAATAAGAACTTAAATGCCTCGAGCTGCAGCTACCTTGCAACCACAAGGCAACATTCATGAGGACAAAAGCTAACACAGTAAGGACAAAGGGAGAAACCACATCACTGAGATGCTGAACTATCCCAGCAATACCTCCAGAATTCTTGTGGGAAAAATAAGCAGATGATTGTTTAAGCCACGGTTAATCAGGTATTCTGTTGTTTGTAGCTAAACACAATCCTACCCAGGAGGCCGCTGATTCTTTTTCTAAAAGCACCAATTTAAAAAAAAACTAAGATGTTGTATGCGGTGGCATACATAGGAATACTTCGGACTGGAAGAAAAAGAAAACTGCATTTGTTTCTATCTTCAAAAATAAAAAAAGACTTAAACTTAAATACACTAAAAAAAAAATCAAGTAAACAGGAACTATGCCTTCCATTGGAAAACCAAAATCCTGGTGTCAGAGCCAGTAACACTTCTGTGGAGAAGAAATAATGTAGGCAAGAAATTATTTTTCTATTTCTTTCCTTCATTTAACTCTGAGTAAAGGGCAAATCACATCAAGAGTGTACCAAGGCAGGCAGGAGGTGTCATGGTGTTGAGAACACAGCAGTACCCACCTTATCACTCTTGGACTGTCCACTATCACGACCCATGACAAGGTAATTTGTTTTCTTGCTGACATTTCCTGTTACTTTTCCCCCATAACGTTCAATTAGAGACTTGGCCTCATCTCGTTCAATAGACTCCAGCACGCCTGTGATTACAAATATAAGGCCTTCCAAGCAATTTTCAGCTCCCTAAAAACCAAAATGTTCAAGCAGAGAGGAAATTACATGGTAGCTTTCCAAAGAAACATTTGTCATCGAAACTGCAGGAAGTTGATTTTTCTCATTTCACATCATAAATAACCTTGGCATGGAAAGTTTGCTGGAAATTTACAGCAAATAAGCACCACCTGAAATTAGATCCTAAGAAATTTTGATATGGCTAACATTTAATAAACTTACAAAACAAGCGGTGAACAACATACATCCAACACTGTTAGCAAAGCTATTAAAATTACCCATTCATACTATTTTCCATTATGCCCTCTTCATATCTAAACCACTAGTTAACTTGCATAACTGTAAATAAACAACCAAATGCAATCCATCTATAGAAACTCTTGCTATTCAGGAAACTGCTTGTTCTTAAGAACTTTCCCAACAAGAATTAATAGAAGCAGGCATACTCCTATCATTTTGATGTTTCTGTTAATGTTTCCAAACAATGCACTTTAAAATCAGAATCACTTATCATTTGCATACACTTCTGATGCTTTTCATCACATTAGTGATCAGAAATGAGGTATAATTCCCCAATCCCTGCGTGCAAGAGCTAAGAAGGATCTTAACTGTCAGTTGAAGGGAGTTCTGCCCGATCTCATGGATTGTACAAGAACAAACTGCTGTTGGGTTTGATGGTCTGCCAATGGATTGTGGTGTGGCATATCTGAAGGCTACTGAATGCAACTTATAATGCTTAACAAAAATATTTACTGTTTCAGAGGAAAAAAGGAAGAAAACAGGCAACTCTTGCTATTGTTAAAAGGGGAAAGTTTTGATTCTAAAAAGCTAAGCGAGTGTGAGCTCGTGCCCTCCTCTCTGCTCATTACTCTATGATAGTAAATCTAGCAACCTGCTAGTAACTTAAAGGCAAGATCATATTATCTCTGGATTGGAAAGATAACTCTCATAATGTGTAATATAAAATAAGAGATACTTGCCAAAGAGAGCTGGATGGAAAAGACATTAAATCTTAATTGGAACTATGTATAGTTATATATTTTTGCAATGGTTCAATAAAATTATACAACGAAACAAAATGAAATAAAAATCACACATGACATTCCAAGTTACTTATTACTCTTTTAACAGATAATTGAGATTAACAAACTTAAAACAGGCTTGAAAAGCAGCAGCCAACCAAAATTCAAAGACTACCCCCATGTAAGTTCAATCCTTCACCATTCAGGTGAAGAATCTTTCTCGGAAGACAAAAAGAAACAGCTATGAATATGTTTGGAAAGAAAAGGTTTGACTAACATCTCAGGGTCCCTTGAAGGGGTTCTTGGATTGAAATGATCTACTGTAACACTACAGGAAGTTAACTACTTCTGAACAAACTCAAAACAACCCTGGAAAAATTGTACATGCAAGCCCCTATATCCCATATCCCATGTATCTATTATCTCCCCAATTATCCCCACTATGGCTCTGATTATCTTTTTACTTATCCAATCTTAGCACTTCTAGCCTCCCTACCAAAACTCTTCTATTCTAGAACTTGTCTAAGCTCTTACTCCAGGAGCAGCCAACCACCCTCAATATTCCCAACCTCTTCTCCAACATTCCCTCCACAGCCTTGCCTTCACTGAAACCTGGCTGTCCCCTCAGGGCACCACTTTGCCTGAAGTCCTCTCAAGCAGAACTTGTTTGGTCTCTCATACCCATGTACAGGAGGCAAGACTGGCATCTTCCTGCAGGCTCCCATAAAACCCATTAGCCCCTTAAGACTGACCTTCCCACTCCCCACTCCAGGTACAGCTACACCATCTCTCCCTCTCTTTATTAGGGGAACTATTAATCTCTATATGCACTTATACATACCAAGCAAACTGAAAATTAAATTTATACATACATTGTATATGTTTCCACTCCCCTCCTGCCTTCTCAGAAATCTCATACTACAATTGATTCTCCTTCTCCTGCTGGTATAACTTCAATCTCTCCCTTTCTGGTAGGACCTATCCCATTAGCAAAATGCAAGCTTTAAATATCTCCTACCATAAAAATAGTTACATCTCCCCCTAAATCCCACTTTCCATTCTAGCTAGAAGTCATTTCCCCTTCTAGTCCTTCTAGCTAGAAGTTCTCCCACTTCTTTCTCCTTCACAGCCAAACTTATCAAAAATACCTACTTTTGCTGTCTCCATTTTGTCTCCTCACACTCACTCTTCCACGCACTTCCACCAGGCTCTGCCTCCACAGTCCTTAGCTCTTGCTAAGGCCACTAAGGATCATTAATTCATGTTACTAAATGCAACAATTTCTGGTCTTCCCTTACCTGGAATCTTAACAGCATGACAGACTTAACAACTCAATCATTTTTAAAACACTCTCTCTTCCCTTTGCTTCTGTGATCCCATGCTTATCAAACTTCTCTCCCACATTTGTAGCTGCTGCTTCTCAGTTTCCTCTTGGTTTCCACCCTCTTCTACTTCACAAAGAAGCAGGGGCCAAGGCCCTCTTCTCTTCTTGGTCTGTACTAGTTTACCAGATGATATTCTTCACTTCATGCCAAGAATGCCCAAGTTTTTCCATCAAGTTCTGACTTCTGTTCTAAGCTCCAGTCCCACATATCTGCTTATCTACTCAGCATCTCCATGTGGACATCTCACATAACCCTAATGCACAGTATGGCCAACAACAAACTCATTATCATCTCCCAAACCAGCCCTGCCACCAATCGCATCAGCATCCACCAAGCTGCTCATGCCAATAACAAGATCATTCCCAATACTCTTTCTTCTCACCTTCCACTTCCAATTATCACCAAGTCCCATGGATTTTGCCTCTTCCAGTGAAACCTCTCCACTTTTCGATATTTTCACTGCTTCCCCAGACAAGTCCCTATCACTTCTCACCATCTCTCCTGATGATCTATTTATCTATTCCTGCCCCATCCACTGCACTTGGTACATCAGCAGCCAGAGCGATCTTTCAGAAATTCAAATCTGGTCATGTTATTCCTCCACTTTAAAATTCCTTCTCGGCTGCGCCCAGTGGCTCACGCATGTAATCCCAGCACTTTGGAAGGCCGAGGTGGGCAGATCACCTAAGGTCAAGAGTTCAAGACCAGCCTGACCAACACTGAGAAACCCCATCTCTACTAAAAATAAAAAATTAGCCGGGCATGGTGGCGCATGCCTATAATCCCAGCAACTCCAGAGGCTGAGGCAGGAGAATCGCTTGAACCCGGGAGGCGGAGGCTGCAGTGAGCCAAGATTGTGCCACTGCACTCCAGCCTGGGCAACAGGAGCAAAACTTCGTTTTCAAAAAAACAAAATAAAAATTCCTTCTCTTAGACAAAAGTAAACATTAGGCCCTGCAAGATATGACCCTATTAACTTCTTTGGCCATTCTCATCCCTTGGTCACTATGCTCCAACTACCATAATTTTTCTTTCAGTTCCTCAAACATACCATGCAAGAACCTTCCCCCTGCGGGAACATCACACATTCTGGCCCCTCTGCCCAGACCACCACGCCATCACAACCCCTTCACACCTGTTGAATCCCTTTCATTCTTCAAGTCTCCATATAAATGTCACATTCTATATGCCCCACCGAGGACCAGGTTCCTCTGTTATACTCCCTAAGGGCATCTTAGATTTTTCCCTCATAGCACATATCCCAATTATAATTAAATTATTTATTCAATGTCTCTTTCTTTAGGCTGTAAGTGCCATGCAAGCAAAAACATTAGTTTTGTCACTGGTATAGTCTCAAAGCCCAGCCTTTCTAGGGCTACTTGTTATTTAAAGGGAAATTTTTCTTAGTATCAAGCAGTGATTCATAACGTGAATAAACATCCCTAATTCTTGAAGATGGTAACTGAAGTTTTTCTGTTGCTAATTTTTAATTATTAATCCTCTGCTGCTGTAATCATAGTGAATACATACAGGGCTCACAGAATGGCATGGCCTCTCAGTACTCTTACCTTTGGTATTTCTTTGGAGCCCAGAGCCTTGGGACCTTCTCGATTTAAGTAGCTTCGATAAGCTTGATAATTAGTGCGTTTCTTTTCAGAATCTTCAGGACTTATAGACTATGGGAAGAGGGAAAGGAAAATGAACAAAGTCATACAAAATTCATGCAAAATTAAAAATACATATCTAGAAATACATGTTATCTTTATTATGTCACTTCTGTGTCTGGCCGTGAAATTAACAGTTTTAGCTACACAAGTACTTCCTAACTTACAGATAACTCACTTACGAACATCCCTGCATCAGCGCTTCTCAAAACTTTCCACTCTCTAAAGCCACACACCTCAGGGCAGATTATGGGAATAAGCCAAGTTGCCCGCTCCAAGCAAAGAAATGCAAAAGTGTTTTACTTTAGAAATTCATCTGAATTTTAAATTCTATTCCACGATATATCCATATATCCATGTTTAACAGGAAAATACATTTTTTCCCCAAGTAAACCTGATCACCCAAGAAGATATTCTGTGTTAACCTTCCATGCCCCTAAAGCACCAGCCTGCATCCCTAAGGATGTAAGCATTCCAGTTGTAGAATCTAAACAGTCAGTTCAAAGAAGGGACAAGCTTTACTCCAAAGAGAAGACACGTTCTCTATGCTATTTCATCTCTCCCTTTCTACTTCTCTCAGGAGATTTACCATGGGTATATCTCAGAAAATCCTGGGGAACTTTTTCAAACTATCCATCCCTAGATCCATCTCCAAGTTTCTCTTTCGGAGATATGGGGTACAGCTAGAATGTGTTTATGTGGGGGAAAAATATCCTAGATAGTTCTCATTTAAGAACCACTATCAGGTGTTTGTTATTTTTCCACTTTCTATTTTACATTATTTTTAACTTGTAAGCAATCCCAAATCCTTTTGAGAGTAGACAAAATAATAACTTCTATATAAAGAAATGGCTTAACCAATAAAATAGTTTAGCTGGTTTGGCTAAGAGGTTGATAAGCCATTAACAGGCTGGTTCTAGAATCTAACCCTACTTTCTAACAATGGTTTTCAAATGTTGGTGTGTGTTCATATCATATGAGGAGCTTATTAAAATACAGCTGCCCACACCACATTCCCTGGGAAACTCCGTATTTTTAACAAGTTTTGTAAGACAGTCCAGTGCCTACCAACATGGGAAAACGATTAATTTATGACACTCATTCCATGAAAAGAATTCTGAATGATAAACAGCTTATAAAATAACTTTGAAGGACACCCATTTTATGAAGTCAGAATTATTTGACCAAGACCAACTAAATGTATTAAATAGACTTTATTTGATGTTTCCAACCAAAACTGCTTAAGTAAAAGTTTTAAGTTATTTCTATTCTAACTTCAAAAAGTACAGTGAAGAGTATCATTTAAAGATTTCCTCTTTCTTCATAAAAACAGACCGCCTCTGTAAATGGAACATGTTTTAGTGTGCCTGAAGAAAACCATTCATCTCCCAGATAAGCATTTAGTGAAGAAAAAATCTGAGACCAAAAAGTTAATTGCTCCTTTAAGCGTATTTATAAGAATTGTCCACAAACAAAAGCATTCTGAAATCATCACCATTTCACTGTTCTGCACTAAAAAATAATGGTGATGACCAGTTAAAATAGGTGATATTCTACTTTTAATCCTAAGTGCCTAAGAGGCATGAAGGAATAGTGGTTTCTCATTATGAATCTAAAGTAGTTCCAAATTGGAGATTCAGAGACCGTTCGCTTCTCAAATATATTTCCTAACAAAACTTTTCAAAGATATTCATTATCTCATCATTTTTTCCTTTAAAAATAATTTCAGTATCTCAACACTGTTATACAAGAATAAAAAAGAGTAAATTCAGAACTAATCCAAATAACAATCATTTTAATAATAATAGCTAAGATGGTACTTATTAGGTCCCAGGCACTGCTCTAAGTGCTTTTACATATGAAGTCATTAGGTACTATTAATATTATTCCTATTTTACAAACAGCACCAAAGCACAGACAGGAGAAGTGACCAAACCTGCTCAGGGGCCCAGCTATAATTTGAAACTGGTTCCAGAGCCTGTGTGTGGAACCACTATGTTATACTGCTTCAGAGGACCTGAGTTCAAGGCTGGCCCTGCCACTTACCAGGTGGATGATCTTGGAATAAATTCTTTCAGCCTATTCCCTCATCTTTAAAAGTTGAATAATAAAAATAAATATCTCAGAGGGTTGTTGGGAAAATTATGAGCTACCACATGTAAAGTACTAGCACAGTATCTGACATACAATAACAATAAATATGGGCTTATTTAGCTATATTAATACTCCATATCCTACAACAGCTTCTAAATAAGGTATCTTAAAAATACTATGATGACTTATGGTCGTTAGAAATAAAACTTGAAAACAAACCCAGACTAACACATAGCCCCAAAATATATACAGCAGTCCCCCTTTATCCGAGGAGGGTATGTTCCAAGACCCACCAGTAGGTTCCTAAAACCACAGACAGTACCAAACTCTATATATACTTACATGTACTGTTTTTTCTATCTAATAACCAAGTCGGCTACCAAGTGACTAACCGGTGGGTAGTGTATCCAGCACGGATATGCTGGACAAAGAGATGATTCTCATCCTGGGTGAAATGAAGCAGGCTGGCCAGAGATTTCATCACGTTACTCAGAAGAGTACATAATTTAAACCTTATTGTTTATTCCTGGAATTTTCCATTTAATACTTTCAGACCATGATTAACCACAGGTAACTGAAACTTCAGAAGGTAAAATGATGGATAAGGGAAAATACCGTACTCCCTAGAAAGTTCCTACCAAGGCCGGGCGCGGTGGCTCACGCCTGTAATCCCAGCACTTTGGGACGCCAAGGCGGATGGATCACCTGAGGTTGGGAGTTCAAGACCAGCCTGACCAACATGGAAAAACCCCGTCGCTACTAAAAATACAAAATTAGCCGGGCATGGTGGCACATGCCTGTAATCCCAGCTACTTGGGAGGCTGAGGCAGGAAAGTCACTTGAACCTGGGAGGAGGAGGTTGCAGTGAGCCGAGATTATGCCACTGCACTCCAACCTCAGCAACAAGAGCAAAACTCCATCTCAAAACAAACAAACAAACAAAAAAAGTTCTTACCTCTTTTTTAGCTGGAGAACTTTTGGTTTTCTTAGGAGTTTTTGTCTCTCCTTTCAATTCAACGGCATTTTCTTTTCTTTTTGAGGCCACGGGCTCTATTTCTTTATAAGTGCTCTCTTCTTTTCTTTTCATAATTGCCAGCTTAGAACTGGCCTTGGAAGAAGAGACTTCTCCTATTTTGTCAGCTGATGACTTGGAATGTTGCTGAGGTTCTTTTGAACTTTCATATTTAGTTTGCTTCCTAGGACTGTAGCTCTTTCTTTCATCTGAAAATTGTTCTGTTTTTACTAGGAAGAAAGAAAAGATTATGATTGTTGTTTTTGGAAAATGATAACCTATATCAACTTTTCTTTCGTTTTTCAACTGAGTAATCTTAGCACAGAATATACCCTGAAGGCCCAAAGTCCTAAAGTGTCAAGACTATCTGTTTATAGTAAATTTATAAATACATGTACTTATAGGACTAAGATCATCTAGACTAGCAGATGATTTGCTATCAGGACCACCGAAGAATAAAACCTACAGGCAATAAGCAAGAGAGCTGAAGATGACCTGGCCAACTATGAGTCAACTCTGAGACTACCTCTGACATGAAAAGCTCAAAACATCTAGTTCTTCATCTTTATATGCTGAAGTCCACATATCGCACTATACTTGGAAATTAACAAGAAACCTGGAGTTGTAATACATTTCTCACAGTAATCATAGAGCAGATGGGCATTCTGTACCAGCTAGCATCCAAAGAGCTTTCAAAGTATCTAAGCTGAATGTGCTCTAATAGTCCTACGAAATAATGTCTACCTAACAATACATAATTATTCCATAGAATATTTAAACAAGATTATCATGAATTTACTTCCATGAAGAGAAGTGCTCCATCTTACTTTTTTCTGCTAGTATTACCTTTATGAGGATATTTACGTTTTTCTGCTTTACTTAAATTGGCTTGGACAGATGAAAACGTTTCTCCCTCTTCTGTGTCCTTTCGAGCCTAAACAAATTTTAAAAGTGTCAAATGTAACAAATAATAGAAAAACTATTACCATAAAATCTGTTGTTAAAATCCTTAAAATTTTAAGTTTAAGGGTCACCTTTCAACTAGCAGGACACTACAATAAACTGTCATTCATTCATCCACAAAATTTCCAAGGCAAATGAGGCATGTTTTATTACTTCATGTTACAAATGAGGAAACAGATGAAAGGGTATAAAAATCCATCTATAAAAATTATCCCTCTTCATTCCAATCTGTAAATCTGGAAGTAGAAGCCTTATTTCTGCTTCCTTTATCTCAACTTTCAAACTGTTAGTATTAAGCAGTTAAAAATTAAAATCTAAACTTAAAAGACTAAAATAAAAATAAACAAAAGCTTGAAAGCAAAATGAGAGCACTTTCTGAAAGAGAAAAAAATATATCCATTCTTTTCACTGCTCCTTCAAAACTCCATTTTATAAAAAGTTCACAAATCAAGGTGTGTGATACAGTCTTTTAAAGTAATTGCAATTTGACTGTCTTCAGATGAAGTAAGACTTTTCAAATGAGAAAGTCTCTGCCACTCCCTACTGTCTTAATACCTGCCCACTTAGTCTCAGCTCCTGATGTATCTAGGTTTACAACTCCCTGCTTTAAAAAAAAGAAGTAAAATCTTTTGAAGTAGTCACATATTGACACTGACAATTATATTAACAGAATGTGATTCATCAGAAATAAAGTTAATCTACTGGAGATAAATAAAAAATAAAAACAAAATAAAGTCTTGACGTTTTAAAGATTCCCCAAAATAAGGCTGAGGCAGGCAGATCACTTGAGCTCAGGAGTTCCAAACCAGCTTGGGCAACATGGCAAAACTCCATCTCTACAAAAAACAAAAATATTAGCTGGGTGTGGTGACACACGCCTGTAGTCTCAGCTACTTGGAGGGCTGTGGTGAGGGGATCAACTGAGCCCAAGAAGTCAAGGTTGCAGTGAGCTGAGATAGCACCACTGCACTCCAGCGTGAGTGACAAAGTGAGACCTTGCAAAAAAAAAAAAAAAAGAAAGAAAGAAAGAAAAAGATTCCTCAACCTCAAAATATACTCTTTATTATATGAGACTGTCATAATACAGATTTTAGAGTTAACTGATTAGAACTGACAAAACTGTGCTTCCTGAAAAGACAGTGATTAATATTAAAATTATTAAACTGGTGTTCCAAAGAAATTTTTATGAGCATTATTTTCTGAACAAGTACATACGAACTCCTATGATAAAGAGTAAGGAAAAGGTAAACTGGGCGCAGAGGCTTATGCCTGTAATCCCAACACTTTGGGAGACTGGGGTAGGAAGATTGCTTGAGCTCATGAGTTCGAGGCTTCAGTGTGCTATAAACGTGCCAGTGTAATCCAGCCTGGGCAACAGAGACCTTGTCTCTAAAAAAAAAAAAAAAAAAAAAAAGAACTAAAAGGCCAGGCATGGTAGCTCACATCTATAATCTTAGCACTTTGAGAGGCTGAGGCAGGAGAATCGCTTGAACTCTGGAGTTCAAGACCAGCCTGGCCAACGTAACAAAGCCCATCTCTACAAAAACATACAAAAATTAGATGGGTGTGGTGGCACATGCCTATAGTCTCAGCTACTCAAGAGGCTGAGGCAGGAGGATCACTTGAGCTCTGGAGGCAAAAGTTGCACTGAGCCCAGATCACACCCGGCTGCACTCCAGCAGAGACCCTGTCTCTAAAATAAATAAAATAAAATAAAATAAAATAAAATATAAAAAAAGAAAAAGGAAAAGATATAATTCTTTGTTTTGTGATAAAAGGTTCTGGTTTGCTTTGACGCTGTCACCCTTCTTTTAGGAAGAATAAGTTTCTCAATGAGCTTCCCCAAAAACATTTTTATAAATCAAAATAATTTAACTTCTTTCTGGAAAAGTTATTCACGTTTTGGCTAGAGCCTAGAACACGCAAGTATGAACACTGATCTGTACGGTATATTCAGAATGCAAACAGCCCAACATTATGCCACCTTTTTGGTCTTGGGTTCTTCATCCAACATGGCTAATGTTCTGGCAAACTCTTCATCTTCATGCAACTGCCTCTCCAGCTGTAAAATGTGTCAGCAAAGTGAGTTGAGTTGCTCTTTTTCTTTTTGTAAATAAAAGTTTTCAATGTCAGATTCATATATTTAGAAGAAACTAGAAAAACATTTTCCAGAAAATAATTACGACATTTTCCTACCCAACATTAACAGTCAAGTATCACGGGTTTGTTTCACTAAAGCTGAATCAGATTTTGGAACACACAGTTCTGGTTTTGCAGGGATGACAGATAAAGTGAGCATATTTTTAAAGTCATATTTCTTACTTATAAAACATTAGGTCTATACTTTTCTCTTAATGGTCCTTATGGAACACAGCTTTCTTGTTTCTATTTATTGTCTAAAAAGACCTCTGAAAGGACTCTCAACCTAATAGGAAAACACAATCATCTGGGGAGCACAAAAATAGTGAATCTAAGAATTTAAGAAAATTATACAGTTTTTTTTTGCACATATAGTAAGCTATATATAAATGTAAAATCACTTTTACTATCAAACTCCTATTTTCAATTACTAATTCAAATGCATCTGTTCTCTTTTGAAAATTTAAGTCATCATGTCAGGAGTTCTAACATGCTAATATAACACACGACATTCTAGTTATCTCAGTTATTTCGAAATACTTTCACTTCCAGCAACATGGAGCTCTTCCAAAAGAGACTATGTAGCAGTGGAATATCTTTCTCATTATAAACCAAATGGCTGTATACCCCCTGGTAAAATAGCCTTATGTGATATTCAATAAAAAACACCATACATTATTCAAACAAAGAAAAGGACTTCAAAATCCACTCAATCTTTTAAAAGAGAAAAAAGAAGGGAGGAAAAACTCTTAGAGGGATAATTAGGAAAGACATCTTCAGGCATTAACACCTAAAAGTCCTTAATCAGATTAATAAATTACCCAAACAAGATTCTGAAAGAATGTGATAAAAATGGAAAAATAGGGGATTATGATACAAAGTACCACACCTGGTTTGGAAAGGATTAGGTAACCCTCTAGTATTTGGATCAGATAAGGAGAAATCAGGTTCCTAAAAATTACTTCCTAGTTTGACCTAGGCTACTTGCACTACCTTGAGTCATGTGGATACTTGTTTGTAGTTTATGTGATTCAGTGTGATCAAATAAGATAGAAAAATATTTTGAAAACACAAACTATAAACTGCCGAAGTAATAAAAAGTGAACAATCACAAACAATATTGTTCTCTCACAATAATACTTATCAAGAGCCCATTGTATGCCAGACACTAAGATAAGCACTGATGTAACAATGGTTGAGTGAGAGACATAAACAGTCCTGGTGAGGGGACCTCAGAGCCTATACTTTAATAGCAGCTATGACAGCGTGATAGAGTATATCGGAGGGGTTTCTAATATAGTTAAGGTAGTTTGGAAAGTGACACTTAAGCTAAACCAGAGGAAGGGAGTTCAAACAGCCGGCAGCTAAGCCCGGAACCTCTGACAGAGATGGGTGCTCCTCCCTGAAATACTTCTGTAAGATATCAACCCCTCCTGTTGTTCCTACTTCACTAGCCACTCTCTCCTCTCCTTTGCTGGATCATCCTCCTTTTCCTGACCTCTAAATGTTAACAGTGGCCCAGGGCTCAATCCTGAGACCTTTTTTTTTCTATTTGCATTATCTCCCCAAGATCTCACCCAGTTACACAGGTTTAAATATTACTCAACTGGTAATGATTTCCAAATGTCCATCTTCAGTTTAGACTTCTCCCCTGAGTTCCTGACTCTTCTACCCAACCGCCTACTCTGCATTTCCATTTGGAAGTCTATTAGACATCTCAAACTTAACTTGTCCAAAAGATTTATCTGTACCAAACCTGTTCTGCTTCCCGTGTTCCAGCCTTAGCAAATCATATCACCATTCACCCAGTTGTTAAGGCCATAACTGAATATTTTTTTCCCAGAGACAAGGTATTGCTCTGTCACCCAGGCTAGAGTACATTGGCACAATCACAGCTCATCGCAGCCTGAACCTCCCAGGTTTAAGCAATCCTCCCACCTCTGCCTCCCAAGTATCTGGGACCACAGATGTGTACCACCGTGCCCAGCTAATTTTTGTATTTTCGGTAGAGATGGGATTTCCCTGTGTTACCCAGACTGGTCTTGAACTCCCAGGCTCAAGTGGTCCTCCCACCTCGGCCGCCCGAAGTGCTGGGATTACAGGCGTGAGCCACCACGCCCAGCCTCATCTGTGAATCTTCTTCCCTCACACCTTACATCCCATCTGTCAAAAACAACTTGTACCTTTCAAGGTACATTCAGATTACGACCACTTCTCACTGCCTCTTCCTATTACAAGCTGACATCTCTCGCCTACCATTCAGTCTGCAAACTGATCTGCTTTCAATCTTGCCCCCACCATGAACTATTAACATCATTGAGCCAAAATAATTTTCTTTTAAGATCCATCAAGTCATGTCACTTCTCTATTCAAAACTCCAATGGGGCTGGGCGTGGTGGCTCACACCTGTAATCCAACACTTTGGGAGACTGAGGAGGGCACATCACTTGAGGTTAGGAGTTTGAGACCAGCCTGGCCAACATGGTGAAACCCCATCTCTACTAAAACTACATAAATTAGCCAGGCATAGTGGTGGGCACCTGTAGCCTCAGTTACTGGGGCAGGTGAGGCAGGAGAATCACTTGATCCCGGGAGGCGGAGGTTGCAATTAGCCAGATCGTGCCACTGCACTCCAGCCTGGGCAACAGAGCGAGACTCCGTCTCAAAAAAAAAAAAAAGAAATTTAGATTTTCATTTATTAGATTTTAACTTATTTTACATGTAACTTCCAATGAGGTTCAATTCAAAGTCTGGTTGGACTAAATAGCTAGTCACAATATCAAGTTACTAATGATTCTAAGCAAAATGCCAATACCTCCGCATCTTCATCAAGCTGTAATTGCTTGGCGATGGCTTCATCATTTAATCCAGACTCATTTGTATTTTGTGAAAGCTATATTTCAAAGAAAATCAAGCAAAATCAGCATAAACCTTAAGTGAAAAATAAGGCACTTTTTCTTTACTGCTGCTGATTAAACACACCAATGAGAGATAAGTGTATCAGTAATAGCTGCAATGTACACCAGCCAGAAAGCCAAATCTACAACTACTCCCTGACCATATCCAATTCCCTAATAAATAAATAGCCTATAGACAGACCTGTCTCACTTAGTTCTATTGATATGTTCAAGAGAAGTACCAAAAATAAAAATAAAAATAAACCAATCCCGTAGATTAATGTCTTGGCTTGACAAGTAGTCCAGAACATTGGCAAACCAACATGTGAGAATGATTACATTGTACTATGGAGGAAGTGATCGAATCAACAAACACCCACGATGGGGCAGGCTTTCTTTAACTCAGGGGACTACTTTCACCATAATTTATGTGGTATGTCTGTTTCCTAAATGGCCAGAAACAGATGAATCCAATATCTGTCAAAGTAGCGAAGGTCAAAAGTGTAGCATTGGTATGCTGTATTTGTAAAGACTCTATTTATTATCTCATGTGGAAACAAATTTATTTCTAATATTGACTGGCTGAGGTCAACAGTAAAATGAGTTTGCATTCTGATAACTCAATTTAAATTCGAATAATTACAACTTTTTCTTACAGCTTAAAAGATCTTTTCCCGCTTTCACGAATTAAAAAAACTAAATATGTAACATTCTAACTTCCTCATCCTTTAAAATGAGGGCAATATATTTTATCCATAATCATAGGAAAATTATTTTAATTATTAAAACATGTTGACCTATTTACTACATCCTAGTTTCTCCTGTTATTAATATTAGTGAATGGGTATAAATCCTGAGCATACTTGCTTATATGTAGAACACTCACCTCTTTTCTTTTGCTTGCCACCATCTTCTTATTAGATCTTTGGACACTTCCAGTTCCAAAATAATCAAGCACTGATGTGGGTGTAAGTTTTATTGGTGATAAAGGCTTATTCTTGGTCTTAGTGTTTTCTTCATTCTTTTTCACGTTTGATGTTCCAAGATGACTATTTGTAGCTCTTCCATTCTCTTTTGATTTAGAGGCCGCCTTCTTACACATAAAGTCATCTTCTTCATCTTAAATGAAATGTAACCAAATATTTTTTATAAAACATCAATTCAGTTATACAAAGCAAACACTTCTACCAGCTTTATAAAAAGTATACAAGAGGCTACACATGGTGGCTCATGCTTGTAATCCCAGCACTTTGGGAGACCAAGATAGGAGGATCATTTGCGCTCAGGAGTCCGAGACCAGCCTGGGCAACATCATGAAATTCCGTCTCTACAAAAAAACTATCAAAAAATTAGCCAGGCATGGTGGTGCACACCTCTAGTCCCAGCTACTAGGGAGGCTGAGGCAAGAGGATATAAACCCAGGAGGTTGAGGCTACAGTTAGCTGTGATTGCACCACTGCACTCCAGCCTGAACAACAAAGACCCTGTCTCAAAAACAAAATAAGTATACAAGAACTTTGAGATGCTAGTAACTTTTTTACCTTCTATCTCCTAAATTCAACCATCATCCCCACATTTACCAGTGCCAGGCCTGTAATACACTGTCTCCCCCAATTACTACCGAGAATACACAAATATTTACTGAGCACCCATTATGTACCAGGCACTTAAGATACAGCAGTGAATAAAAAAGACAAAATTCCTTCCCTCATGGAACTTGAAGTCTAGAAGAGGAAACAGATATACAAATAAACAAATACACATTGTCAAGTTAAATGTTCTATGAATAAAAAGTAAAACAGGGTGAAACAGGGTGAAAGAATTAAAGAGTGATGAAGGATACTCTTTGAGATAAGGTAGTCAGGGAATGCCTCTTTGATAAACAACACTTTGACAGAGGCCTGAAATGAAGATACCTCAGGCAAGAATATTCGGGCAGTTAAAACTACAAAGGGAAAAGCCGAGACGGGAGTGTGCCTGGAGTTCAATGTGGCTGCAGCACAATGCGGAGGCGTGCCAGAAGAGTTCGAGTGAAAGATGTAGGGGCCAAATCCTGGAGGACTTTCTAGGCAGTAGGAATAATTTTAGTCTTTATTATAGAATGGGAATCCACTGGAGAATTTTGAGCATAGTTTGTGACCCAACTTAAGGCCTGTCCTTTGAAGAACACACAGAAGAGGGGGGAAAGTAAATGCAGGGAGACCATTTAGAAAGCTACTGCAGTTCCAGATGAGATGCGGGAGGCTTGGACTATGGTGGTATTTGCAGAGGTGGTAAGTTGTCAAGTTCTAGCTATATATTGCAGGTGAACCATCTACTGATATCTAACCATTCATTTAAGACCATAAACTCTTTGTTACATTTTCTTTTTCTAAAAAGTTTCCACAAAACATCTTTTAAAAAGTTTCCCTACACATCTTTTTAAGCATTCATGACAATGTTTAGATAATTAGAAGTTCCAAAAATGTACCTCAAAAGGGTGTCAATAAATTTGTTTGCTTCAGTGATTCACAAAAAATAAAAATAAAATAAAGCTTTTCAATTTGGCCTATTAACAAAAGAAATCCAATAAAAATGAAAATCTAAGAGACAAACATGAAGTCAGGGACGGTAACATAAACCTGTCATTCCAGTACCTTGGGAGGCTGAGGCGGAGGACTGCTTGAGCTCAGGAATTCAAGATCAGCCTGGGCAACATAATGAGACTATCTCTACCAAAAAAAATTAGCTGGGGATCACTTGAGGTCAGGAGTTTGACACCAGCCTGGTAAACATCGTGAAACCCCATCTCTACTAAAATTACAAAACTTAGCCGGGCAGAGTGGTGCACGCCTGTAGTCCCAGCTACTCCGGAGGCAGAGGCAGAGGGTGCAGTGAGCTGAAATAGTGCCTCTGCACTCCAGCCTGGGAGACAGAGCAAGACTATATCTCAAAAAAAAAAAAAAAAAAAAAAAAATTAAGCTGGGCATGGTGGTGCATGCCTGTAGCCCCAGCTACTCAGAAGGCTAAGGTAGGATGAGGATTGCTTGAGCCCAAGAGATGGAGGCTGCAGTAAGCCTCAATTGTACCACTGCACTCCAACCTATCTCTAAAAAAAATTTTTTTAATAAAATTGGAAACAGGCTAGGTGCAGTGGCTCACACCTGTAATCCCAGCATTCTGAAAGGCCCAGATGGGCGGATCGTTTGAGGTCAGGAGTTCAAGACCAGCTTGGCCAACATGGTGAGACCCCGTCTCTACTAAAAACACAAAAATTAGCCGAGCATGGTGGAATGTGCCTGTAATCCCAGCTACTTGGGTGTTTTGAGGCAGGAGAATCACTTGAACTGGGAGGCGGAGGTTACAGTGAACTGAGATTGCACCACTGCACTCCAGCCTGGGTGAGAGTGAGACTCCCTCTCAAAAAAGAAGAAAAAAAACCTTTTTTTTTTAAAATAAAAGACAACCATGAAGACTAGGTCATGATGGGGATGGGGAACGGTTCCCTTTATAAATTTGGTATGCAAAGCCACATATGAGTGGCTCTTATGTCCTCTCAACTGCTCCCTCATTCAACTATGAACATTTGCTCAAGGCCTTATGTCCCAGGCCCTGTGTTATCCTTAGGTGGCTGCCATTTCAAACATGAAAGTATCTAATGATACGTAAAAATTAAAAGGATTTAGCCTTACCTTCTAATTACTATATTTATATTAAAATGAAACTATAAATTTTGCAACACATAACTCTTAACAGGTTTCTGATTACTAAAAATAACCCACTATTTAAAACAAGCACGTAGTAGCCAGTGCCCTTCACTACAAGCACATTTTCTCTAATAATTTACAGCTCACCCCACCCTCCAAAGGGCCTCCAAAAACCACAGATATATCCATCAGATGGCTCCACACTCTTGACCACAATCAACTAGACCAGGAGTGAGCACTTGAGCAAGGTGTGGCCAACTTTATCCTTGATTTGTTGAACCAGTATGTACAAACCAAGGTGCAAAATGTTTATTTCTACATTCAGTGAGAAAAGTTAGCAGGCTCCGAATAAATTCCCCCATTTTGCTTACACTAAAGTGTTTGCAACTGAAAGACTTAAATTAAAACATATTTGTTTCATTTGTCTTCAACTATAGTCAATCCACCATCAAGTCTTAATTAAAAATTTATCCATAACTCTTTCTAAAGCACATCCAAGGTCTGATACAATTAACAGATTTCAGTTCAACCATACATTACAAGGAGTCAACAGACTAGGTTCAGTCATTCAAATATCTGTTCTCCCTACCTAACTACCGGTTTTTCTCTGCCTCTTTGTCAGACAGGAAAAAGGCTTTGCAAAAGGCTAGGTAACATCACCATTCCATTTATAATAGCCATGTGGATCACCCATAATAGTCCTAGTAACTAACCATTGAGAATATAATCTCAAAGTCTTTTCCTTTTCTCTAAAATAATAACACAACGATCATGGTATTATAGAAACTCAAAGTTTTTATACTTGACAGCTGGCCAGTTATACCCAAATATGTCAAATTTCTTATCTTATTAAATTTTATAATCTTTATTTGCTTTAAGTTCAACAATTGTACTTCTGGGCAAGAGGGAGTCCCTTAATGGAGAAAGAACAAACTTAAATTATCTCTGAAATGATGGTGCTCTACTAGTTTCCCACCACCGTAAAAATGCCAAAAATACTAACATTCCATTTCCACTACACCTAGCCATGCTTATAAGCAGTATGACAGAAAACCCCATAGCTGAGTGGGTGAGATCAACTACTATGGAGAGCAGGTTGCAATAGGGCAAGAAAAGGGGAAGTCAGAAAGTAAGTGACCATGTAGGCAAAGATGGCCTCAACTATAATAATGGCAGTATGAACAGAGAGATGTGAGTATTGTTTATAATATGGGAAAACAAATAACCTAAATATCTATTAATATGTATAGTCAACCATGTAACAAAATCTCTACAGCAATAAAAATTATAACAAATATCCATATTTACTCACAGAAATATATTCATGTTTATTAGGTGGCAAAAGCAGATGACGTAACAGTATGTTTAATGACACTGTTTATCTCTAGATATATACATAATTTTTAAATTCACATTCTAAAATCTGAAAAGAATCAATAAAACATTAACAATGTTTATCTCTGATTAGGGAAATATGGGTAATTTTCATGTTTTCTTCACACCCTTTGATATGGTTTGGGTGTGTCCCTAACCCAAATCTCATCCTGAATTCCCACATGTTATGGGAGGGATCCTGAGAAAGGTGAATGAATCATGGGGACAGGTCTTTCCTGTGCTGTTCTTGCGATAGTGAATAAGTCTCATGAGATCTGATGTCTTGTCTGCTGACACTTGAGACGTGTCTTTCCCCTTCCACCATGATTGTGAGGTCCCCAGCCACGTGGAACTGTAAGTACAATAAACCTTTCTTTCATAAATTGCCCAGTCTCGGGTATGTCTTCATTAGCAGCGTGAAAACGGACTAATACACCCTTTGCTCCATCTAATGTTTTACAACAAATTGACTACATCCTAGAACTCTCTGACCCCTTAGCTTTCAGAGTCAGTGCTTTAGTTTCTATCTCCTCTCCACTCTTCTTTGCTTACTTCTGTTCATTATTTATCAGCATCTCTGCTATTCTGTTGCTGGCTTCACAGACTTCATGGTATCTTTTAATTTACTATTAATAAGTTTTTATTGAGCATTAAACTACATGCCAAGAACTGTAAAATAAATTATCTTTAGTCAACTAGTCCTACCTCCTTATTCAATACATAGACCCCATTTTCCACATTTCTAACAAAAAAAATAGACTAGACTTAAATACTTTCAAAATCGAACAACGTTAATTCACCTTCTTTCTTTAGTGAATAGCAAAATACTATACTCCTTAAGAAAGTTTTTCCTTATATTAAGTCAAAATACTTCCCTGTGAATTCCACCTCTTTCCTTAATCTATCCGCTGACCAGGGAGAAAAAGTTTATCTACTTTTTCCACATCCAGCATCTGAAGACTGCTCTTATTTCTTCCTTACGTCCCCTTCTCTATAAATAGTAAAACAGTTTCAAGCCACTCAACATTTAGGTTACTGGGAAGATTAAATTTTTCTTAA